CCAATCGCTGAGCATTTAAAATCATTCTTATCACTTGTTTTAATATTTTCATGAAAGCCAGGCATTTAAGGCAGGCCACCTGCCCTAATTTACATTAAATAGTAATTTTTGCGCCGAAACTTGACAGTAAATTGAAGTAGTGTTGCAGGATATGTTAAGTTATCTACTGAAATCGCAGTGATTATACAACAAAAAATTTTCGCTAAATCTCTTAAAGCTTAAACATAATTGATGTATTTTCGTTATTTTGAACCCGCGAACGAAATTCTGCAGATAAAAAATTAAAATAAATACATCCCTAAAATCCTCATGCCCCATCTTCATTTTCTTCATATCCTAATGTATACGTGTGACGATACCTATACTCGGTACCGTCATATTCAAACCTGAGGCCTGAGTTTCAAAGAAAATTACGAGTTGGAAATTTTGTAAGAATAAGTTACAAGTCCACTTATTTTACTTACCACCCTTAATTGACCATTTGAACCCTAATCCAGCTGTTTCCATCGCAGCACATTAATAAAGTTGTTGTTCCTCAATCATCACACCATCACACCTGGAGATAATGTTAGGTCTAATAGAGGGCTTACAGATGTGTGCAATCATAATATGACTGAGGCGAATCAAACACGCTTTTAAATGAACATTTTACGAAAGACCTGGCTAGACTCATCAGTTCTTGTTTCTTCTAACGACCAACCGTCGTTCAACAAGTAATTTTCATCCAACCTGATTCATTTCCAAGCATGCTAGTCTTTGCTGTGCTTGCGTGTGTTAACAGGTTGCAGAAAAATAACTGCGTATTTCAGATGCATTAAATACACAATATAAGACTCAAAATATTAAAACTCAAACTTTATTTTCCATGATTTGAGGACATTTTAAATGATTAGAAGTTTTCATAGCTTTAGTTGGCAGGAGTCAATCAGTCATACCCAGAGTGCGCATGGCGCCAAAAGTGAGTAATATACCCTTAAAAACCTCAGTAAACTTTAGAAGACACTGAGCTTTCTGAAGCGACAAAGAACATGTAATTTAAACATCCTACTACGTATTTTTCCTTGGATGAGTCGATAATAGTCATCGATATTAAGGCAACGCCCAACACTGGAAAAAAAAGAATCTTAAATTTGCCGCCAAGAAGTATTTCTTCTTAAATCAAGAATTTTGCTGATTAATATAAGCTACTTTTTTGCTTAACCCAAAGCATTATTTTTCTTGAATCAAGAAAAAGTCAGCTTAAAGCAAGATAAAGAAAATTCTTGGCGGCAAATTCAAGAATTATCATGCTTGATCCAAGCTACTTTTTTTTTCAGTGAACGGCGTATCTTGCGCTGTAATAAATCGATTGATCTACCATTTAAACCTATCAAAAGGATCGATTTCCCAAACACCCCGATAATCGATTTTTTACCGTACCTCCTAATGGGAAAATATCGATTGCCAACGATTCATGCTTCGCCACTGGCGATGCCGCGAAAGCTCTCGCGAGCGGCGATCGCATGTTTACGGAGCCACGTTGCGCTCGGGTGACTGAAATTATAGGTAAGCAGAGAAAATGAACTGTGAAAAAATCCAGGCTCGAACACCTTGCCCGGATAATTGAGTTCGGTCGGAGCCTAAGTGGCGTCTAGGTCGCACGCCGCTTTATCAGGACTAGGACAACTGGAGCACTGTTGCGTAAAGCTTGTGTTCGAGGGGTCCTGAGACGTGCAGAAGTTCCGTTTTTGAAACGTCCTGTAAGTACACCTTACCAGGAATATGTACTGGGCTATTAGCGCTTCAGAGAGCATTAGCTATGAAAGCCATAGAGCTCGATTTGACTCCCATCAAAACATGTGTGTGACGTAGCCTAACAAAAGGGTGTATATAGGTGACTTAAGGCTAGCCTCCCCCCCCCCTATTTTTCTATACTCAATAAATTATAATTTCCCGATGGATGCTGGGTAATTTTTGGGGGTTCTTTGCGTCAAATAAATTCAAAACTGCCTCGACTAAGATTTCCTTCGGGGCATCTAATTAAAGTCCGCAGAGAAAACATTGAATCTGAAATTCTGAAGAGTGTGATTCCTGCAAACGTTGTGATTTTGCAGCAAACAATGATTTTATGGGTTGAATATTGCTAGAGAGCGTTGTATGAGGTGATCAAAGACATAAAGACGGAGGGCTAAAAGCAAAAAATGAAGCTTCTTTTCAACCACCTCTACGATTGGCTAGAGGATTGGCGGCGAAATCGGGACAAGTTTGAATTCAAATATAGGGCGGGAACTGATTAAAATAATTGCGGAAACAAAGTATTTTAGGTTGATTTTTGCCCAAATTCAGGTACAAACTCATATTTTTTTAACTCTAGGTTAGTTTCCGTCCGTCGTCGACCGATTAATTTCATTTGGGAGTAACGTTGATCTAGAACTGTAACGGCCTGTTTGAACCTGCAGAACCACCATGAGCAGAAGAAAAACTAACTTTATCAGAGATTACTGCCTGTTACCGAGCAAAAGTAGGTGTATTATGTTAGGATGCAGACCGAACTTTCTTAGTATATTCGTTTTAGGAATTTAAAATACGTTTCGAAGAAGAAATATGCAAAAATCAAGAGGACAAGTTCAAATCAATTTTCCGTTTGCCGCCATGGATTCCCGCGCTCATTTACACACTCACACAAGCGCGCAGCGCCGAACCTAGCTTCACTTTTTCCCCGTGCTTTTAGATACGAGCGCTCCGCCTTCATGTCTTTGGTTGTATGAGGTGATACAAAAATTAATGTATGGTTAGTTGGTTGGTTGGTTGGTTGGTTGGTTGGTAGATACGTTTATTTGATGCTTTTAACATCTGAGTCATTTACACCTTAGAGGAGAGATCAAAAAAGTGTAGTACAGAATTTTAAAAATTTAAAAAGTAGGGGTCACAAAAGGGTAGTACACAAAATTAAAAGATATAGGAAATGGAAAGAATACTTAAAATTTAGAGGTTAATTCGTTTGAGAAAGAGAGGGATTTCATGAAAAAACTTTGAAAGTATATTATTGAGATCAGAAAGTGGAGGGAAATTTTGGATCTTAATTGTTGATATGTAGGGCAAAGTTATTAAAACGTGTTTAACCGAGAGGGGGACATTAAAAGAGCTGCAGGTTGGGGGTTGGACTTTATTCTCTAAATAAATAGATCAAACAAAAAGGGGAGGAAAACGTTCCGGGCTCATTATATTTTGGGAGCGGCTCCCCGAGGCTTTTGCCAATACCTGGTTGTAAATTGTAGCAATTTTTACAACTCATCAGCACGAGCTCGAGGCTAAACCAAGCTTTTCCACATGACCCGACACCCATGCAATCGCGTCCCTAATGCAGGACGTTGTGTGTGTATTCTCTTGCGTGTGTGTTCGTGCGAGTGGTCAGTTTCGTAGCGAAGCGCCAGCTATTTACCCGTGTCCGCGCACGCAATGGCGAGCATCCTTGATGCCGCGATTGCGTAGTCGCGCACTTGATAAGTCAACTCCGAACCAACGGATGCTTGCCCAACGTGCCATTTTATCAATCAAAACAGTCACTCTAATCGCACCTGATTTGGCCGTCTAGCTAATGAGTAATGACCCGAAAATATGCTCGATCATGAACGGCCAGCACAAGCCGGGGGTTTAGGCTGCAAGATTATATTCGAATGGCGGGAAACCAATAGTGTAAAAGCCACTTTGCCTCTAAGTCTAAACCATTTTGGCTGTGGTCTTGAATACATTTGACACGTCGCGAGTCATACCCAGGGTGGAAAAAATTTATGAAAAATAAAATCTTGAAATTTCACGTGAAATGTTCCATGAAATTTCAGAAATGTATGAAAGAAATTGAAAAATACCGGTTACTTTTTATGTTTCGCTAAATGAAAAAAAAAATTTGCGATTTTCTTCTACTTTTGGGTCTTTGAGTGCGGGTTGTACACTCTAGCCCCTGAAAAATATGAAATATTTCACAGCCTCGTGAAATTTCATGAAATATTTCACTAAAATTTCCAATCTTTCATTTCTTTCTTACGTTTCATGCCACCCTGTCATACCTCCCCTCCAACATAAAATAAAGTAAAAATCATAAAAATATAACCGTTTTCTCTTGAAAGGTACATGTCTAATTTACCACGTGCACGGCAACTGACACTTTACATACATCCTCGCGGATATCTTATGAGTATAACAGTGTTTCCAAACTTAAGTTTCAATACGGTATGCATGTAGAGCTTTGGCGAAGGCTAAATACTTCTCACTTTATCCTTTATTTGCGTCCACCTTTCTCGTAACACTAACGATCCTGATTCTGAAATGTTTTAGCTTCAGATTTCCGAATAAATATTCAAGTTATTTTTATTATCATAAATGTTTCATTTCCTCGGAATGAAATCTTAAACAGACCCACTTTGAAATAATTGACGTAATCGACGCTGGTCAAATCGCAAGTATTGTTTTCCCCAAATAAGAAGGTACTTCTATCCCTAATCAAAATAATTTATAAGGTATCAATGTTGTAAATTTGCTCCAAAAATATTATAAAATTTGCATAAACAAAAAATGACCCAAGAAAATCAATGAAAAAGCAATCTCATACACCATCTGATTTAATCCTGACATACCTTAAAAGAACAAAGCAATACGTCTCAATAGCTGGTTTGATGGTTTTTGATGAGAGAAAATCTTGGTCCACGCCGAGAAAAATAAGGTTACAAAAAACATCACAGTGACTTTGCTTTAAACTTAATCGACTTGATTTTTGGTTCGCCTTAACTCTAAATCTGGTCCAAGTTCAATTCTCGCTTTTCATGGTTATGGCCTTGCGCACATCATTACCTGCAATGAGTAGGACATATTGCAAGGTAATTGACCACAAAATGATGATTTAATTCCAAAAAACTCTGATTGAATTCGCCACGTTTGAATCTAGAATATTCCGTTTTAATTTTCAAAGTCATGCAAGTCTCCAATTGATATATATTTTGACACTGTGTTTTCCATCTGTGCAGGTTATCTGTTTAGCGGCCCTTGTCGCCGTCTGCAAGGCCGGGTACTTGGGAGGCTACGCCGCCCCATCCTACGCCTACAGCGGCTACCCCGCTCACTACGAGTCCCCCTACTACGCCGCCCCCGCCGTCGTAGCCCACGCCCCCGCCTACACCTACGCTCACGGATACGCCAAGGCACCTGCAGTCGACTACTACGTAAGTTAAACCCACCTCAAAAAGTTTCGTGTGAGAACATGTCGCTAATAGTGCGAAAGATACAGCCACATCGTATAAATCGCCTTCAAATTGTTGCGATACAAAATATCATTCCAAGATGTCAATATAGTTGTTTTCACTTGAACGATTTCGGACCATATATATTGTTTTAATCAGTCTCCGGGCTTTTCAGACCAAAAATTAAACATTCTCTCGGTAAAAAAAAACAAAAAAAACAAAAAAGCAAAAAAACAAAAAAGAAAAAAAAAACAAAAACAAACAAACAAACAAACAAACAAACCCGAAGCAACTTTTGAGTGAGTCTGAACAAGGAACTAAATCATATCGATGTATTTTCTGGATCAGATCGATCAAAGGAAAAGAGGTCTTGCGGTTTTAATCCTCCATAAAACTTAATGTTAGAAATGAAATTGAGAAGTTCAACGTCTACTGATATTTACAATTGAATCAGTGAGAACGAAAACACGCCAACTCGGAAAAATGAAAGGAATTAAGACACACACGAAACCGAACAGTAAATGAAGAAATTAGTCTAAGAAATAGATTTTTGGTGCCGAAATACAAGCACTGAAGGGCATTTTAAATATCCAAGTTAAAACGGATGCGCTAACTTCAATGACTTTTATAAAAATTGACCGTCTTTTATGAAAATTGAGCTATTTCGAGTTACCGAGTTGGTGTGTTTTCGAACTCACTGATTCAATTATACTTTCCATTTAATTCAGTCCTTTTCACTTGTAGCTTCTTGCTCTGACTTGAACATGTTCTCCAATTGCAGGCTCACCCGAAATACACCTTCAACTACGGCGTGAAGGACTACCACACTGGTGACGTCAAGGACCAATGGGAATCCCGTGATGGAGACGTAGTCAAGGGTGAATACTCCCTGGTCGAGCCCGACGGCACGACGAGGAAAGTGACCTACACCGCCGATGACCACAACGGATTCAACGCAGTAGTCCACAAAACTGGTCACGCCGTCCACCCCGCCGTCGTCAAGCCGGTCGTACCCGTTGTCCACGGATACCCCCACTACTAAACCAACCCCTTCTACCCCCCAACTTTTCCCAACTGAAGCACAGCATGTACTTTATCATGTTGCCAAATCCATACTTTTTCTGTAAATCCACGCTTGCTGACTCAAAAAGAAGAGCTTGCGGTTTTATCGACAGTAAACATGCTGTAACAGATAAATATACATACTGTGCTTCGGCTTGGGATAGCGGTGCCATGGTGCCCGCCTCACTCGCAGGACACCCAACATACTGCCAATAAAGATAAAACACTCGTTATACAGGTACTGGTTAGAGGCGAACGAGAGGGGGTGATTTTCTGGAATCATGTGATAAATAATATGACATCCAAGCAAAATTTGATAAAATTTTTACAACGATTATATTTGTCTTTTACAAACAGGTTTACAATTTCCACATTTTAGGAATTCTAGTTACATGAATCAAAAATAAAATGTCATACAGATTCCTTCTAGCCTCTCTCTCTCGTCCATCTCTGATCGGGCCACGCCAATTAAGAGGCGAGAAACAACGCATTTCATCGGGGATTATTTCTCGGTAGGCAAAATGAAATTCGATGGATTATTTTTCTCCATTTAATTTCATTGTCACCTCCTACCCAGGAACTTTTCTCGTCGTTGGAAAAATCATGCAGGTCCTCCGGCAGCTCTCTAGTTACCACCCTCTCGTTTCACGGTTATGATGATACCTCATTGTAGTCCCTCTGCCCATAATTCCCCTAAATCTACACTGCCATTTTTATCCTGGTTTTTTACTGCCAAATACCGTGAAACAGTGGGGTCCATTTTGATTTGCCCTTGGGACCGCGATACGTTGTGTGGACAAAGGAGATCAACTTTACGGTTTCCTCACCAGCCAAGGTCCGTAGTTGATTCCCTGAGTAGGTAATTCACAAAAGCGATAAAATATTTGCCGTTTCCCAGACAAAGATCCCTTTCGGTTGCACTCAATTATTTCATTTTAGCTTTTTCTAAAGTTGACCTAATTGGTGTGACTAAAATGTACCTGTAAAATTGTAAATATTTAAGAAAGTCTCATTGCTGGTATTCCTGTACCCGTTAGTTCCGTTTCACGCCACCTGAACTCTAGCTAGAATTATAATATTTATTTGTTGCCTCACTAGATGGGTAGATTTCAATATTTGTAATTTTAATATTTCTACCTATAGTTTTGAGGAGAGCAGTAAATAATTGATTCTAGTTTAATCTACTGTGCTCTATTAGTTCATTAGTACGCGATTCTGCAAAAGAAATACCTGCTTACAATCATATTCATCATCGAGAGGAACAAATATTTTCTTGCTTTTGTGAAGCCGCGAGAAATTTAGAAGTAAGTTATTTCCACTAGATCTCATTTCGAATATGGCGCAATTTTCCCCCAAAGGTAGAATAATGCCTTTGGGAATTTGGGAAATGCACCAGTAAGACGAAAAGCAAATACAAGTGAAACGAAATGACAGCATGCATTTAAACTTGACGAGTGTAAAATGTATCGATATTCATGTAAAATTCTTCATTATTGGAAAAACCGTAAAAAGAGAAAATAATGAAATTAATAAATTGTGTATATTTTTAATTGAAAGTCTTTTTATTGTTATTCCACGTTTGACTTGACAAATTAAAAACAGAAGTTACCTGTCCAAATTATACATCCAAATTCATTACTATAAGGTATCGCTGATACCATAATGGTTGATAGAATTTTTGAGGTAATTTTTGTAAGATAGAGGTCTTCACCTACCCCATAACCCCGACAAATGGACTGTAATTCTCAAAGACCTTCAGTTGATTGTCAAAGTAATTAATATTTTTCATTGACACTGTTGAGTTTAGCTAATACTATCTATCTTTTTCTAATTTCCAAGTGGGATAAAACTGAAGAGATCTGTCTCATCTAAAGTAACTATTTCACCTCTTAAACATTCAAACCAATGAAATACTCAGCTTTATTTTATCTTACTCAGAATTATGTATAGAAGAAGATTAACCCAAGGTGGATGAATTCAGATTTTATTTTAAGGCAGCTTCGTCCAGAAAAAGGATCTTGGAATGGGTCGAGAATCACTGGACCTTAAGAAATACACGGGAAAAAGACGTCAACAATGAGGAGTTCTCGCTTGAAACGCAAAATGCTCTGGGTGATTGACATTTTCTTAAACCTCAGTTATCCAACTTCAATGCTGCCAAAAAGGTCTTGCGACTTTTTGCGACCATCAGAGACATTCAAAGTCAAAGTTTGGGTATTTCACGCTGCTTTTACAATATTAACATAGGGCTGTTTCGAGGTTGCCAACTTCAAATGGACTTTTCTCGAAAAATAAGCAAAAAAATACAGAGATACAGCATTTCCTTATTCCTCGAGTGTTTTACTTTAATAGTGCCCTCATGAACCGTTTTCGCGTTTAATTCGGCATAAATTTCAACATCAAGTTACATTTTTGTCCAAGAAAAATCAAGAAATAAGAGCTGGTACCTGCAATTCGCTCATATTTTTAGGATTTTTCATTCTTCAGCTCCTGTGATTATGAAAACTGAGCAAAAATAAAGTGCTTCATTTTATTTGCAAGTTTATTTTAATTTTTTCAAATTTTGAAAATGACTGATTGTTTTCAGATCAACTTATGACAAATTAGAGACCTAAAATCTACTAAACCTGAATTTGGAACATTTTTTGTTACATCATTTTCATATATGTAGATGAATGATTTGGCTCGAAGTAGTAATTTAAACTAGGTGTCAAAACAGAATACCGTGTTGAGAAAGAATTATCAGTCATTTCACACTCTTTTACAATAACGACCCATTTACACCGGCAAATTAGTAATGCAAAATCTCAATAATGTGCAGGTAGCCAGATTCTTATCAATTCCTTGGTTAGCACTGAGCTATTAATCCGGTCTCCTAGTTATTAATTCAAAATCTGCAAAAGGGGTCATTTACAATGTTCAAAAATGACTTCGATACTTTTGTCTCCCGCAAGAAGAATTTTATTCTATGCGTGCTTACAACAAGGCATACTGGAACCATGCTCTGCTTTTAACTCTGTGTTTCTGCTCTCTGAAATCGTGTTGTAAAATTATTGCTAAAATATTACGAATCACTGAGAGAACGCTTGTTCTATCCAGAAAACAAAAAAGGTACAACCTTAAAAAGAATAGTAATTTATGATTATTAGAGAAACAATTATCCAAGTTTGAGATCAAGTTTCGATTTTATTCACGATTTTCTGGCGATAAAATCGCTAGGACCGTCAACATCGGACAATGATATATTATCCTCAATCTTAGTGTAATTTTATCTCAATTTATCACAATTTTCTGTTCGATAATATTGCGCTAAATTTCCGTCGATAAAATCGCGATTTTATTGCAAAAAGTGATGAACGCGCAATTTATCGCAATTTTTGATCCGAATTTAATATTGCATTAAATAGACCTGAATCAATTGTGATACATTCCGCGATCAACTCGCAACTGATTGCGATCACTGCTTCTTAGGACGTATCATTCACTCCGCATCTTTCAAAAACAGCTGAGGATGCAGAGATATAAAGTTAACTAAGACCTACTTTAAACATTGATCGCGAATATCCCGGTAAAACATATTGTAGACTTCCACTTGAGCCGAAAAATATCGTTTTTTATCTTCTTTTAGAAATTGACCTATTAAAAATGGGGATTGCCTTTCCAAAAACTTTGAGTTTGAGTCCGTGCAGTAGCCCAAGGGCGCTGCTCCAAAATTCTAAGTATGCAGAAATGTAGTTCCTGTCAATCGAGGTACACGGTAAAAATTTCATTTTGCTAAAAGCAACCGATCAAAAGTTAAATGGGGGGAGGGGGGTGTGGGAAGTTGAACTTTCTGAATGCGCAGTAAAATTCAATTTGTGAATAATCCTCTTATATCATATGAGGAAAATTTTATAACCTCACATTCCGTTTTAGATAGCTTGTCATATTTTGTTGTATAAGCAATATAAATAGTTATAAAAACATTTCTCAATTAAATTCTAGGCCGGTCCTTTTCCCCTCCCTTGAATACCCTTCACCTATATCATTCAATCTAAGTACAGTTATAGAGACATTGGGTATTTTTTGTAGCATTTCACTGCCTGGACTGGAAAAATGGAAAATGTTAATTGCCATGACCACTCTCTCCAACATACAATAGAACGTGATTCCGTAAAAATTTTAAAGTAAATATTTTGAAGTAAGTTTGAATAGTTGCGCCAAACACAGTCCGGTGAGAAACGCATATTAGCGTCTACAAGACCGCAAGAATACTTCACACACTGCGCCGAAGAGAGCGGTCCGCGAGAGGCGCATATCAGCGCCTACAAGACCGCAGGAATACTTCACGCACTACGCCAAACAGTGCGGTCTGCGCGAGGCGCATAGCGCCTTCAGGGCCAGATGGATACTTCACGCATTGCGCGTAGACAACGGTGCGCGCTTTAATCGTTGAAAATTTGTGATTTCTGGTGCCGTATCCACTACGGTTTTCGCCACTTCCGTCCAGTGAACCTGCAATCCGCAGATGGACTGATCGCGGAGGTTTTGCACTTCTGAATGATACCTGTTCCAAAAGTAAGTTTAATATACGAAACTCACAGTGCGGGTTGTATTAGATATATAAATTTCACTGAATTTTATTTGTGAGTGAAAAAATTCTGCAAAATTTTTATTCATAAGTCTTCACTGTTCTTATGGTATCATAATGAAATGCCAAATTTTCAAAATCAGCCATAATCATTGATTAATGATTTTGGTGATCATAGAGAATGAATATCATTCATATGTAGCTTCACTACAGCATTCATACAAATTACTTAACACACTTTATTGGCATTTTTGAACTCCCTTTCCCGTATATCACTACTATATGCAACCCAACCCACCCCCCTTAT